GAGAGAGAGAGAGAGAGAGAGAGAGAGAGAGAGAGAGAGAGAGAGAGAGAGAGAGAACAGGTAAGTTTCCAATGTCGCGGCTAACCTCATGGTACTTCCACCGAGAGGAGCAAAATCGAATGAATCTCCCGCTACAACAATATTGGAATGAATGTTCCGCTACAACATGGGAAGATTCATTGCAATGTGTGTGTGTGTGTGTGTGTGTGTGTGTGTGTGTGTGTGTGTGTGTGTGTGTGTGTGTGTGTGTTTTGATTCCCCTGCTCTTGGTCCCCGCCGCTGTTGTTGCGGCGGGCATCCAGATCCATTGCAATGTGTCTGTGTGTGTGTGTGTGTGTTTGGTTCCCCTGCTCTGTGTCTGTGTGTGTGTGTGTGTGTGTTTGGTTCCCCTGCTCTTGGTCCCTGCCGCTGTCGCGGCGGGCATCCTCTTGTTCTTATAAAGCCCAGGTTGTTGTAGAGGTGGTATACTAGACGGATGGCAGTCACCCACAGTACTCGGCTACTCACTCTCAAAAAGTGTAATCACAGGTTTGCAGTCACCCCTAAAGTGATCCATGCTGTCAGGTATCCCCGGGCGACTGTAACATGGGGAAGGGTTAAGTTTTGGTAAGTTTTGGTATTTCATAATTTCACGGTGGAAGAGGAACCGCACTGATGCTCGCCAGAATGGATATGGAGCCGGAAAGGACCTTTGTTTTTTGTTTTTTTTTTAACATCGGGTGCGACGGGTTTTAGATATCATCAGTGAACTGACCGGCCCCAGGCAATTCAGAATGATTTTATTCTATTCATCTGCAGGTATCTGGATTCGAACTTGAGTCTGTATTTCAACAGTTCAGGGGTGCACCAGCTGAGCTATGCCCGTTCGTCAAAAAAAAAAAAAAGGACCTTTTTTTTGCAACAAAGAAAAGAAAGATAATCACAGGTCTGCAACTCCAGGTGCTACTGTAAAATCGTCGTCAAAGTAAGGAGCAGTCTTCCAGCACAGCTCCCGTAGACTGGCACGCTTCTTACAAAATTTTGGCAATAAGGAGAGGGAATCTACGTGTTTCGCTTTGCCCTCTGGTGCTACTTCTTCTTTCACTTCGAAGGTTGAATCTGGTCACACAGTTCCGCGTCTTCCGACATGTTTTTGACGCCTCCTCTTCACCCCAATATCCAGTTGCGCTCGTGGAACCAACCGGAGGGCCACCATGGTCTATCAAGCAGAAGACGAAAAAAATTCAAAATCCTTCCAGACAACCAGCCTCTCAAGGGATGTGTATGGCATGGGACCAGCTGAACAGGAGGTGTCAAAAGACTCAAAACAGATCAAAGAATTGGTTGTTATTGAAGGATCAGTACATCCGAGCCTGACGGATTTGCACTGCGCGCCAGCCACACTTTGGCGAACTGAACCGACCACAGCGCACTGTTTTTCTTTTTTGGCTGGCACCGCCATTGGTTTTCTTTCCACAAGGCGAGTTTTTCCGAGTACGGGTTTGGCTATTTAATATTTATTCATCATTGGAAACCAGTCTGCCTCCCGCTGCCATCATCACGCCAAGGACGCTGATCGGTACTTGTTTTGGCAGCCAATTAATTTGAGGGTTCTCCAGAGGTCTTCCCCACTGATGTTGGATCCACCACCCTTGGGTCTTGTTACCCCAGTTGACCGTCAGATCTGACAGCCTACAAAAGAGGTCCATCGGGCATTTGATTTCCAACATGGTTTTTTTCAGGGTTTGGTCCGCCATGAGGGTAAGATCATCTGCAAATAATGAGCAGACCGGGATGACCTCTCCTCCGGGATCGCGATGACTTTGATTTTCTCAGACCTTATGGAATTATTCTTAATTATTCATGTTTATTTGTTGTACGATTTAGTAATAGTTTGGAAGAATAGTATATAACTGTTATCAACTTATCACTGTTATATATATTTTTTTAATTTGGAGCTGCACCCTTACTTTTCTCCATCCATCCATCCATCCATCCATCCATCCATCCATCCATCCATTGCAGCAATTCCTTTTCTGTGGATGGATTGTTTTGTGCTCACCGCGCTCACAATTACCTGTAACAGTTACGCATGCATCTACCAACATTCTGTGAGTGTACTGAAGGTCCATGGTGTCATGGGTGCTCACATACATCTATTATATTGTTATCTAAATTAGTACATTGAACTAAATGCAAAGTAAATTGTCATTCGTCTTGCATTGTGGAACTTGAAATGAAAATGATGTGTGCAGGTGGTGATGATTATGGATGTCGGCACTGATGAGAAAAGTTCATGGGTGCTAAGTTG